GAATATATATAATATAAATTTTATGTAAAATATAATACAGAATATATATAATATAGATTTTATGTAACATATAATACAGAATATACACACACACACACACACACACACACATACACATTCTGTCTAAAATTTAAATTCTGTGAGGCCTGGGACTTTATTTTGATCTCTAACCTCAGTTCCTAAAAGGGTCATTTATAAAGTTGTGGGCATACTCCATAAATGTTAGTAGAATTTAAATTATTACTATTGTTAATATTATTGACAATTTTTCCTAATTCTTGGAACAAGTCTATGTGGTAAATGTTGAATGAATTTCTTAATCAATTCATTAGTGAATGTCCTGCTGTTATTCTTCTAATATTTTATCTATTTGCAATCTTGACTTTTAAAATCATATTTTACACAGAGAAGTCACTGTTCCACTGGGCTATACTATATCACCACCTGCCAGGTAAGTGGTCACTAGAACTTGCATTTTAGTAGAGTTTTAAAGTTTTTTTGAACATGATGGGAGCCAATATTGCTAAAGCAAAACTATGTTATTTTAATAATATTTAAACATGACATACTAGATTCAACTGGATAGCCTTGTTGATTTTCTTCATCGATAATTTTTATTTTCTAGTTATAAAATGGGAATTAATAAAAAGTGTGAGCTTTCAAAACGTTATCACCCTCATAGCAGGTCTGTGTATTTCAGGCCCTGCCTTCGAAACTTTCAGATTCCTGACCTGGAGTGACCCCTGCCTTGTGGGTCTTGGTTCTCTCTGTGTGAGGCTCAGTTTCCCACTGCGCTATCCCAAACCTCTCTAGCAAGCCGACAAGCCACACAGTTTCATTCCTGGGTGAGACTCCAAACTCTAAAGAGGGAAAAAAGGAAGAAAAAGCCAAGCAACTTGTTCCGAATAGTTTTGATCGTTGTTTATATATGGTGAATCAATCAGAACTGTGCAAGGAGCTATTACTCTTCCAAAAATTTTTCTTCTGTTTCAAATATGCTGCCATCAGCAATGCCAGTGAAAAAGTTTTTGTTAGAAAGAATCCAGAGCAATGTCCATTATGTCGCTTTGCGTTGTTAAGGGGCAGGGTTTGCCTTATCCTATCGATTAGTGCTGCCACCAAAGTTCTGCAAAATTCCCTCAGGACAGAAAGGGAAAGTCATTTCTGGGATGATGAATAACTACACAGTTGTTTGGGTTTTTGTTTTGTCTTGTTTTATTTTAGTCTCTCCTTTGATTGAAAAGCAATTCCTAGGATTGCTTAGTTAATATAATAAACATTGCGTAGCATGTACTTCAAAATTAATTTCCTCTTGGTGGGTCCACTTACATATTACCATTTACTTTTGATATTTCCATCCAAAAAGTATGTTTCACCTAATTTCATGCTGAAATTAATAAATACTTCTTAAAATAGCCTTAGGGCTATACTATGTTAAAATAAGTTTCTTTGACAGTTTTCTCTGTTTAGCATGACCTAGTAGTTGCCTTTTGTGCAAGAGAGAGAACCACAAATAGATCCAAGCAATCATTCCAACAGATGAACTTTGCTGTATGCAAACGCCCTTTGTTTTGTGCTCTGATGAGCAAGCTACTGTACCAGTGCTCTTGGCAGTGGTACAAGACTGAATCCATGGAAGCATGTGTGTATTTACACAAAAGAGGCTTCTAAGCTGCAAAACTCCCTCCTGTTTGGTTACACTAATTTCCCTTGAATGAAGTTTGTATGCCAGCCAAAACAATGGTAGTTATCCAGTCCTCCGGAGCTCATTCCCAAAAGAACGAGGTGCATGATTGAGCACTTCCTAGACACCCAGCAACACGCTGTTTTTATTTCTTACCCCGGCATTTCAATTCTTTGATTCTTAAAAGGTATCAGAATATTGGTGATCGGGACTTTTGCTAATATGCT